TTATGCTATATTGATATTTTGATAAATAATCGAAAGAACATTAATTCAAATTACACATACAAGTTGGTAATTCGGATATGTGATGACAGTCAGTTATCATTCATTATTGACGGAATATCGCACGTAAAAGTAGATTTGCTAAACTATCTTTATATTCATTCACATGGTAATATAGATGTATGAATTAAATATTTAGATCTTGATAACTTTTAGATTTAGCTGATAAAAACTAAAATATAGTTAACTTTGTATCCAGACGTTTCACTCTCAGTCATTTTTTACATTTCATCATAAAACCATATACATTACCCCCTCCCCGCCCCCCGTCCCCCAATACAGGTATAAAAATGCCTTTTCAACTAAAACAAATTTGAATGAATCAGATCCTCTCTGTTTACAATAAGTGAAACGTAATTCATGGAATACAATACTAATATCCATGTATGCCTTTGTATTGTATTTTAATTTTTTGTAGGGTACATTGTGTGTGAACAAGAAAAAGGATGGATGAACGTGGCGAACTTGAAAAGTCAGAAGAAAATACAAACAATTTTAAGGTAATTTTGAAATATATTTGAATTTATAATTTAATGTAGTCACAGGAACATTTTAACACGAAAGATAAAAGCGTTTAAATATATATTATATATATTATCCGGAAGGATAAATTGATGCAAGTTCTCGCGACTTTGGACTATATTATTGCTTCATTATGCATTTCTTTCTTCTTCAATTAAATGCATGTGACGGTTCCGAGCTGTTCACTAGTTAGAGGAGATAGTATGTGAGCGGCCGGATAGCTCAGTCGGTAAATCCACGGTATAGTATTCCGAGGGTCCCGCTTCGAGTCCCGGTCAGGCTGTACATTTTTTTTCTCACCCTGTTAAATTTGTACAGCGGCTCTGCCGACTGAGATATCCGGCCTTCTGTTGTAGTGTGAAGAGACCTGGGAGAAGGATCTTGAAGACGGATGATGCCACGGAAGCATTAATCACAACAAAATAACATGGACATTGCTTACTCGCCTTGATTAAGTCGGTACATGAACGAAAATGGAAAAGAACAGCATCCCTCATGCCTCCTAGCATTTGATTGGAGCGGTACTCAGTTTTCATCATGCAATGGTTCCGAAGAACAAGAAAAACAACTTAAGTGAAGTACGGGACATTGTTTTACACCTATCACATGGTACTCCAAAACTGCTGTTGTGATGTATAAAACACTAAAAATTAAAATAATAAGGCTTCTTGAGTTGATCGTATAGTTAAAGGCACATCATTGAGTACAGCTCATTCTGGTGCTAGGGGCTGTGAGAATTGTTGCGCTTTTTCATTATTCATCATGTACAGACTCAATCTAACCGAGTCCGTAGTTTCATGAAAATAAGCATGAATCCAGAGGCTGGCTGCTTGTCACATATATGTCCGACTCATGAAAGAAATTATATTTTCATTATCAATACATTATTTGAGACAGTTTATCAATCATTACTGCTGCAAGTTATTTAAAATACAAAGAAAATGGTGCATGTTCTTGCCGATACTTGCCGATAGTCATTAAAATATATTTGTTTATTCAAACATAACAAAAATACACGTATTAAAGCCTTATGTCTAAGGCTTATTGAATCTTTAGATACTGATGCCAGAAGTTCGATATATTGTTTTATACTATGGTCATATCTTTCATACTTACCTTGATTTGTAATGTAAAATCCACTTTCTGTTTAATTTATCTTTTTATTCTCTTGCAATCAATGTTTATTCACAGTAATATTTTGTGCGTTTCACATCATACATAGTTCAACGTACAGAGGCTGTAATGAATGCCTAATAAATGTTTGTCTATTAAGATGTCTGTTGTTTGTTTATTTTCAAACTGTTACTACTTTCTTGAACTGGAACTTTAAATGTCAGCCTCGTACTTAACACAATTGTATACAGTTTTCGCGAAATTTGTAAACATTTCTGTTTGTCAATATCCGACAAGCTAGAGCTAAAGTGTCGATTGTAATTGGTAAAGAAATCCTACAAATGTCTACGACAGACCAAAACCACTTTATTTATCATATTATTCCTTATTTTTAAATGTTTTGAACAGTACACCTGTCTTGCAGGCGGCCATTTTTAGTACTTTTTGTACGAATACTTGCATAGAAAAGCTGGATGCTGTACATTCTGATAAAGTTTTAAACTTAATTTTTTATAATGTATCATCGTTATCCTGCCAAAAAATTTTTGCATTGTTTTATTTATAAGAAACTAATAATTTTTCTTCACCCCACAGGCATTTTGTGGACCTCACCAAAAAACACACTGTGGGATGACTTTTCTACGAAAATACTTTGGTGCGTTCCTTCTACAAAATAATATGTTGGCCCAACAAAAATCATTGTAGCTTTCTTTCAACAAACAAGTGGAATGTGTGGGAACAGTGGCATATAAAAGGCCCGTCTGCTTTATTCCGGTGTCTTCCATATTCGAAATTCTCTCATGAACGTCGTATTTTGATAGTTCACTTAAATATGATACTTTAAAATGTTTGACTGAATTCTAAAAGTTGTGCATTAATTTGTTGACGTAAATTTAGTATATTTCTTCTTAGAATTAAATGAAATATACATTTTCTCAATATTGCATCTGCATAATATACTTAATATTTCTGCATTTTTATTTTATCATGGAAATTGACAGATTCGAGTCATTTTATTGGTTTCACCGTGTTTTATGACCTATTTCTATTCTTAGAATATTTATCATTTACTGAAATTTCCTTGCTGCTTAGTTATAAATTGGTTTTGAAATAATAATTATCTTGCATTAAACTTACTGACTCTATAAAGTGCAGGAACGTAACAAAAGTGATTCTGACAGGTGCACATGGAAATATGACTCTATTTGCCGATTAAAAAAAACGACTCACAAGACTCGCATACATACATACATACACACATACACGCACGCACGCACGCACGCACACACACGCGCGCGCGCATACATACATACATACATGCGTGTGTTTCTGAAAAATGACTAGGAATAACAAACAACGGCTTAATATAATTTCACTTACAATTCAGTATATCTATTAAATTATATATAATAATCAATCTTGTTCAAAACAACTTTTTCTAAATTAACGCCTTCATTTGCAATTTTTATAAGGTAACGTCTATATGAACATTATGGAATAAAGAGTCGAAATATCTTATCTAAGTGTCTTGGGTCGGGATATCGTAGGAGTATACGTTTCAAATACAATGATATTTAACGGAACATGTTTTTGTCTCAGGTAACCTGTTTCTTAAACGCTGGTTTCACTACAATATTTAAACATTACTTTATCGGTGCAAGGGGGGATTTCGTACCCTTGTAAATGATTTCTTTATAATAAATTAAGCCGAATAAACAAGAAAGGGTTTCAAAATAACGAAAGAAAGTCAGGAACAAAATATTAACAAGTATGCACATAATGCTTCAAAGTGAGAAAGGCTAATATAATATTGTTCTTAAATTTGCTTCTTTTATTTATGATCCATAATGATGTAACATCAGTATTCCTTTTCTATAACATAAGATCTATATGAAAACGGCTGTATAAAACGTTGCAGGTTTTTCCCATGAACATAGTTACCATTTCTACATAATGTATGCACAATATACACATTGTCATGAAAAGCGTCTTGTCACATTTATTCCCACTTCCACGCATTTGCGAGACCCCCAAATTGATACATCCTTCGGTCAAATGGGTTGTCCGGTTTATTTTCCCTTCCTTGCTCTTTCGAGAAAGTGCAGTACGACAAAGAACAAATCTCCGGGACCCGGGGATTCAGCCTCCGTTTCACTCTGCTGATTCCGTTTTTTATATTTTCTGTAGATATTGACATGAACCTGAAAACGTTTGTCTTTAATGTCGATATATTTGGTATGAATTTTAAATTGAGCTTGTGAATGTCTTTTTTCACAATGCTAGTGTATGTTATAGAAGGAGGAAGAGGAAAAAAATGATTGAACTCGAATATTGGCTTTCCTTAATACCATTTACTTTTACAGAAATCAAAATGTACTCTAACGACATTGGTTGCCGTAGCATTCGTCAACATGAGTGTCTTAATTCCTTTGGTCGTGCACTGGTGCCTGTTAAGACAGCACAAGGTCGAATCAGAATGGTGTTCTCCCTTAGACATAACAAGTCAAGGGAACCAAGACCTTCTGGGACAACTTATAGTAAAGACTGACAAAAATACTGATCGTACAAAAACATGTGGCAAATTGAGTACCATGTTGAAGACAGTTGTTAATCTGGTAATGATTTTCTATTTCTTATCTCGTCACATAAGTTTGAATTTAACAAATACGAGCATTTTTTTTGGCCCTTGATGTGACTGTATCTGTAAAAAAATCTGGAAATAACGTGATCCCTCGGAAGCATTAATCACAACAAAATTACAAGAGAATTGCAGGCTCGGTTTGATTGAGTCTGTACATGAGGGATAATGAATAAGTGCAACACGCCTCACATAAGTCATGTCGGAAAAATAAATGTTATCTATAACAGAATTTAATAACTGCATGTAAAGTGCTATATAAATGATGTAAATACGTTACGATCGTACAAGTAAAAGGTATTGTTATAAATATGTAATTGACACTGTTATTTATGTATTATTATCATTCAATATTTTAGAACATACATGATAGCTACGACAGTGACCTTTGTCCAGGTATGTTTTTATCATCTATTAAAACCAACAAAACTCCGCAAATGTCGCTTGTTCTCCTTTATTCAACAAATATTATATTTAAGTGAAAAAAAAAACTGAAACAGAGTAAGTAACGTCAACCGCCTCCATCGGAACACTTTTGGCTATTATACTTAATAATATCGGACTTAATACGGATTGAAAGTAGTTCTACCACGTGTTTTTAAATGTAAACAAAAACAGAGCTCAGGGTGTAATGTATAACAATTGTATATACTTGACATTTCCATTCCAGAGCCGGAGATGCTTACTTTCGGTATCAAAGCATTCAACTGCACAGCTTCAAGGAAAGTTGAATCTACTTGTTATCTCGATAACGTATCCTCACATGCTAAACCAGGTATGTTATTACTATCATCACATACATGCAAGTGCATTTACTAAATACACATTATCCTATATTATTTGCCAGCAAGTTTGTAAACAGTAAAACTGCTTTACACAGAATTTAATAGCAACATTATTTGTCTGTACCTTATGTTACATTCAAATGGAATATCCTGATACAAAACAGGAAGAGTATACAGTTTCGGGTGTTTTATTTTTAAATATCGTTTGAAAAATATCAAATGTTACATGTTTCAACAAATTTCTAATAGGATATTTGTAGACCTGATACCATACTGCAATTACCGAATGTTTAGGAAACTGACATCAATAATCATTATACCTGAAAATATAATTATAACTATTACCAAAAACATTTGCAAAAATAAAATATCTGGAAGAACGGTGATACCTCGGAAGCATTAATCACAAAAATACATGAAAATTGCAGACTCGCTTCGATTGAGTCTGTGCAAGAGGGATAATGAAAATGTGCAACATCCGCCATAGCACGGGCTTGAGCGCTACTCAACATTACAAAAAGTCAAGAATAAAGATCAACAAGGCAAAGGCAACACTTGAAAATGCTGGAATGCTGGAATTATCTCTACGGAAACAATTCTAAAGCCACAAATAATAACCTGATCACTTTTCTTAAAAATAACATCTATGCTTGTCTCAATACCAACACATGGAGCATACACTTACATGTTTGTATCAACAATTGTTACTCATGAAATATATCTTTTCAGTACCTGGGAAAACTACCAAATTATACTGGCAACCTACTACAGGTATGTTTACACATCATTTGAAATACGTGCAGGAAGAAGGAGCAATCTACATTAAGCAATCTGGCTATTACTTTGTGGCTTCTTTGTTGACAGTAAGAGCTAACAACATGACATCGACTGATACCGTCACAGGGTTCGAGGATAAAATGAGTCACTTTGTTAACGTAATACACCACAAAGATGGGCCTGAACGAGTTCTTCTTGAACACGTCAAATTCATGTGTGAATTATCCTTCGGTCATGCAGAATGGTCAAGTAACATAGGAGCACCTTTTTACTTAAATGAGCAGGAGAGAATCTACGTGGCCACATCACATCCGTATAATATTGTCAGTGGTCACAGAAATAATTATCTAAGCATTCATACCATTTTGTAAAACTAAAAAACAAAAATAACAAAAACAACCCACAAAAAACCAACAAAATAACCAAACAAACAAACAATATAAAGACAAACAAACGAAAGTATTCAATTTGTTTTAGATATATTATGGTATAGGTAAAATTCCATCCATCTAGAAATTACTGTTTTTAATTCTAATTCTTTGTAATTTTGTCTTTTGACAACATATGTGTAATATGCAAGCTAATCCACTTCAAAATTTCATTTTATTTAGTTTCTCTAATCGTTTTCTCGTTCAGGGCACACGGATTTTGTTTTTGTGTAGCAAATGCCGCCCTTCAGGGAATGACACTAGCATGACACATTGAAAGTTCCATGATAACCGCAATATGGACACATCTGCGTATGTTTCAAAATCAGAATTTTACCAGTTCATTTTAGATGTTGAATTCTGCTGATGCCGAGGCTAGGGGGCGTGAACGATAGCTTGTAGTTACCACTTCCGTCCATGTACTACATACACGAGCCTGCAACATTTTCAATTTTGCTGTGTTTTGCTTTCTTTATGAATTATGTTATTCACTATTTCGTTACCATTTTGTTGGGTCTTTTTATGTTTAACTTGTACATGCTCAATCATTATTATTGTATTAAATGTTACTCAGGATACACTCACTATTAATTGGATATGTTCAACACATACAACAGCTTCTTATTTGTATAGTATCACAGCATCTGTGTAGCAATGTCAAGCAAATAATTGGATGCATGTAAAAACTGTGATGTTATAAATATATTTACCAAATCAAAAATAAATTTCCATAGACATTTCTAAGACATGTCTCATTTAAAAAATTTCTATTTATAATTGAACATACTACCTTGACGGTTAATTATTTAGACACATATCCTATGTAAAATGTAGACGTTTTCTCGAATAAAAGTGATTTCTGAATTACAAATGGTTATAATTAATCAACCTTGTAGATATGGATGGCGTTTAATAGTTATCAAATACCTATCGATATACATATTACGCCAATGTTTATAAAATCACCAAGACATCTCGATTCTTTACATTTATATCTGGGCAAAACCGAATCTTATATTAAGTATTTTTGTTTTATTTGTTTATGCTTTTTTAAATGTTTTTGCAACCGGGTTGCACAAGTCCAAAAGAATTAGTATGCATAATGACATCATTATTCATTATTTCGCATCACCAAATCTTTGTTACTTCGAGTAAAATAAGGATTTTATATTGAGCCTTTTAATTTAAAAGGACAACAAAAGTTGTTAGATCTGCAATTTTATTTAAACTCGTAAAATGAAGAACGAGGCTAAATGAAGTACAACCATAGTGTTATGATATGGACATTTGGTCTAGCAAAATAAACACAAAGATACAATTGATGAGATTGGATCCACAACTGGTTTATACAAGGAGATCACCTACCATCATTGGTAATATTCTACAAGGTTTGAAATAAATATTATTTATGTAAAGTTATGTGAGCATAAAATAGAAAAAAAGCAGGAATGATAAAATGACTACACAAAAATGCTCTTTAAATAAAGAAACTAGTAACATATATTTTGCCAATCTCAAATCATGTTTGTAATCACAAGTAGATACTATCTTTTAAGGACAAAAACAACATTTAGTGATACGTTTTTAAAATATGATAAAAAAGATCAACAAGGAAAGGCGGCGTTCAATGAACACAGCCCCCACACGATCAACAAGAGCCAGTGGCAAGGAGCCCAAACAAGCCCTAAAATGACTTTTAAATATTTATCCTTTTCACCCTGCAAATTTGTTTTAAATGTCGTTGTAATTGAAAATATATTTTGATGTATTGTTTAAATGCTTCGATTTTACTAAATTTAATGTAAAATCACATGTAATTAAATGATTTACATTTTCGTGAAAATAAGATAAGAGTTATAAACGCTATTAATAGATAAAGCATACTTATTGAGAATCTTATAACCCTTTTCTTTTATGTTAAAATTATAACATTTATATATTAATGTAAACGAGACTTGACATAATACCTTGTCCAATTGTAAAATTCTTTGGCACATTTAACTATTCTAATGTCAACGCCCTGTCATTAATAACCACCCCGTTTCATCAGAGTATTGTGTAGAAATTCAAAAAAAAAAAATAATAAAAAATTGAGCCATTAATCATGTTAGTGTTTAATGAATCAGCGATAATTGCTTTAAATTTGTCGCACGGCTGAGATACACGAGAGACATTTGGTTTCAAAAATACTGACTTACAAACAGTAACCTATACCGAATGAAAACATGTTTCGTCGAAAACACGCCGTCAGACTTATTAAAAAAACACCAAAAAACACGATTGCTTGCTTGCTTGATTGGTTGATTGATTGATTTAATGGCTGGTTTGATAAAGGACTGAATGATTGGTTGATCCATACATTGATAATTTTATGTAAATTATATGCAACAGGAAATCATAACTCCCCAATACTGCAGGCTCTGTGCTGCACCTTATCACATTAACCTCGCATAAAATTGCATTTTGTAAAAGATATATAAGGTCTTAACATTCAATGCACAAATAACACATTCAAAGTAGCAGACAATATTTATCAATTGCTTTCGAATAGTCATTTAAGAAGGAATCGAAGAATCAAGGGGTTAAGAAGTTTACATATAAAAGGTATATGTACAATTATCAACAATCAATTTCATTTTAATGTGGCTAATCAGCTTTTAGATGCTAGGATTGATTGATGGTATAGTGTTAAAGGAATGACAGTAGGTTGTAGCTGAAGACTGAGCATACTATATAAATGACAGTAATATAAAAGTTAAGTTAATTACTTATTATTTTATCAAATCATTAATGTCACTTGTATATCAGTTTTTCAATAAATACACAGTGTCATATTTCCCCGACGATTATCAAATTTTAATACATATCATTGAACTTGAACATATAAACAATCATTTATATATACAGATATACACTTAAAATATTCTTTTTTTAAATGTAAGGTTAGTTAGGTCTAGTTTACACTGAAATTTAAGGTGTATCAAGCTATGAATGGTTATGAATGATTTTATGAATCAAATGTAGTAACTGAATGAAAGCAGTATAGAGGTACTTTTTGTGCCAGGTCTTTCAATTTGGACTCAAAGGTTTATCAGGTTTTCAAACAATATGATCATAACAAATACTCTCATTGTGCATGACATTTATAAAAACAGAGGGTAGGAATATTTAGGACGTTATTACCTATCACGGCTTGTTATTTCATCAATATCTTTCCTTCTTCTCTGTCCTTAATAACATCAAAATTTCTTGAAAGCTTTTAAGAAATAAATTTAATTTTGTTTTCAAGGCTTTTATGGTACAACATTAACTGCTTTACAATTACAATTCTGTTATGACTTATATTAGAGCAATTCAATTTTATGTCATATTTCCTTTTACTAACAACAGTTTTGAATTGGGTCGACATTGAATTATAAACTGTATACCTCTGAATGGCGGTATTTCAAGAAAGCAGCCAACATCCTTACTGTAAGAAAAAATACTAGGACCATATTCCTTCTTCTCCATTAGTGAAAGGACAACCACAAGTTCTGTCATTTTCATTTGCCTTCCTGTCTGCTCGTCTAAAAGGTACAATAAAATAAACTTTTTATTCCATCTAAATTCAAGTTACTATATTTGAATAAGCAAAAGGACAGCTGGGTCAGTACAGTACCATTTTACAAATACCATTAATTCCAATATTTTTTATAGTTGGGCACAAGTCTATAGCTAACAGCTTTTACACAACAGCAAATTGACATTATTTTATGAAAACATCACATTACAAAATGGTTATTTATTGTATGAAATCTTTCTCTAAAAAAAACAATATATAAAAGTCACTATACTTTAAGAACAATATATTTTAACTGTTTTCTTTCTGGGGATCTGACCTAGATTCTAAATATTGTTTATTCGTCAAAACTACTGTAGTACATATGACTTGAATACTTATTTCCATTTTCATTATTTCATTATTTACAAAAAGGTAATATTGCTTTATATTTTTATTATTTTATATTGAATTAAATAAGGAAACATTCGATAAATTCTAAGTGAAAAAATATAAAGATAAATAATTTTGTTTGTAGAGCGTAAATGCAAATAAAATAAATGACTTTTTTAGAAATATGTCAGTTTCTGTTTACTACCGTTTACTTTTTACTCCGTTTTATATACAGAAATTATTTTAGTTTGATTGTGTAGAAAAACGACTTGCCCCTGAAAAGGTTTTACTATGCGGCTTGCGATCATTTTTCCGTCTTTGGGCTCGTAAACGCTACTTTTTATCAAAATCGGTACCTTTCAAGTATCCGCACTTAGCCGAAACATACTCTTGGGACCTTTTAACCATTTATATTTTATTAAAAATGATCTTTAAGTATGATAAATTATAAAAAGCAGTTTACAACTGATGGTGAAAGACATTGTTTTACAATATTTGTATAAAAAATCTATCATAGATATCAGGAATTATTGTTGATATTAAAATAAACAAAAAACTCTTTACAGCAAACAACTAAAGAAATACGGGTATCAGGTTTCTTTTATAGCAACGTGGCACATGACAGAAGAGTGGAGATCTCTGGTTAAGTGTTCTTTTGTTCTTATATGTACTTTTTGTTCTTTCATTGTACTGTTTGAAGTATAGTCGTTTATTTGTATTAAGATTTTAGATTTTTCTAGAAGTAAATATAAATACATTGATATGCTATATTGATATTTTGATAAATAATCGAAAGAACATTAATTCAAATTACATATGCAAATTGGTTATTACCATTCCTTATTGACGGAATATCGCACGTAAAAGTAGATTTGCAAAACCATCTATATATTCATTGACGTTTTAATATTGATGAATGAGTTATAGATATTTAGATCTTGATAACTTTTAGATTTACCTGCATGCATATGCAAGATGAAAAACTAAAACACAGTTTGTATCCAGACGTTTCAGTCTTAGTCATTCTTTACATTTCACCATAAAACCATATACATTACCCCCCCCCCCATACAGGTATCAAATTGATATATGTGTCTTTTCAACTAAAACAAAATTGAATGAATCAGATCCTCTCTGTTTACAATAAGTGACACGTAATACATGGAATACAGAACTGATATCTAGGTTTGTCTTGTACTGTGTTTTTTAAGTGTGTTGTAGGGTACATTGTGTGTGAACAAGAAAAAGAATGGATGAAAGTGGCGTACTTGAAAATTCAGAAGGAAATACAAACACTTTTAAGGTATTATAGCTTAAATAACAATGTTGTAATTGTTGTTAACCGATGCGTGTATGCTTATATGATACAAAGTAGGGCAATATTTATTTTCATAAACAAAATTAACAGCACGTTATTTCGTTAAAAAGACATAATTTAATAGGGTAATTTACATAAGATTATATTAAGAACATTATAACAAGCTATTTTTTAAATATGTTTTTTTTTTAATTTTTAATTCGCTTGTTAGATTAAAATGGTGAACAATAATATTTAACTTGATTACAATTGTTTGCTATGGTCAAAGTATTCATATATAGACTTAAAAAGACATAACTAAGAACTGTTTTTACATTTTATTTGTTATATTACTGTTGTTTTCTCATTTTGTCTAGATTTTTTTCTATTAATCTTACATGTACCAATGACAATGTAAAGTTCAATTTGTATAATATTTATGGATTTATAAAAAGCGCATGGAAAAACGAGGCTGTCTTATTTGTACGAGGTTTGTGTATAAAAGACAAACATAGAGACCAGTTGTCTTCACAAAATAAAAAAAAACCAAAACGTAACCATGGACGTGCATCTGAATACGACTGCTCTATAGTTGTAATTTTCTCTGTCGCCACAATAAGTACACCTCAGAAAAAATAAGCCAATGTATGAGCGTGCTCTTTTCAATCCCGACAGAAAGTGTGGTAACATGAGTTGGCGTTATTTTTTAACTTCACTCTAGTTAATGCACTAAGCATGTATGGGTTTTCGATTCAAATCATACATATTTTCAATAGAAATGTTCCCAACCTTTGATACAATTGTATTGAATTTCGTCTGTCTATTTTTCATACCCGATATATACGCAATAAGTACATAATAAAGTTAAAAAAAAACTTTTTGTATTCTATACAATTATGTGCCTATCAAAGAGGCCAAAGTGAGATTGTTTGAATATAAAAATGTATGAAAAACTAGAAATGTGTCCATAGGACACGTGTGTCCCCCGCTCTCAAATGTTTTTTTTTTAATGTTTTGACCCTAGGTCAAATATTTTTGAATACTCTGACAAAACAGAAAAAATCCACAAGGGAATCCCCAGATGCACAACTTCACATGCTTAGCAACAGTCCTATAAAGTTTCCTGACTCTTAGTCAAAAACATTTTAGATATGTGTGACACAAGTCAAAAATTGTAAATTTCGATGACATCAGGTCAAAGACTTTTTCTAAGTCAATGGCAATAACTATACAAGTACTACATAAATCCACACGAAAATATCCAGGTGCAATTTTACACACGCTAATCAAAATTCCTGTTAATTTTCATGACTTCAGGTCAAATACTTTTTGCGCTACATGAGACACGATTTTAAATTACAAATTTTTACTTTACTTAGTCATGGGCCATAACTTTACAAATACTAAATAAATCCAGACAAAAATACCCTGGTGCATAACATCACATGCTGATTAACATTCCTGTAAAGTGTCATGATCGTAGGCCAAATATTTTTTAGCTACGTGCGACACAAATTGAAAATTAAAATTTGTTACTAAGTCAAGGGCAATTACTCTAACAAAACAGAATAAGTTCACAAATGAAACCCGGGTGCACACCTTTAAAATGCTGAGCAACATTCCTATAAAGTTTTATGACTCAAACACTTTTTTTTTAGCTACATGGGACCCAAAATGAGAACGGACGGACGGATAAACGGGCGGACGTATGGACGGACAAGGTAAATCTAAATCCCCCTGTAGTTAATTTGTGTACATAATTATGTTCTATTATGTTAAAGCAGCACGCCTCCAGATTCATAATAATTATCTAGAAAATTTGGAAATAATTTGAAAAAAATATTGTGAGGTGAACAAATAAAATAATTTACATATTGCAATCGGCACTTACAATCCAAGAAATGAGCAAAACGTGCTCAACAAATATACGCAGAAACTACGAAAGACCGGTGGAGGCATTTCGTTTTCATGAATTCCCGTGTTCCTCTTCATGAATTCTCGATCTCAACTTCAAGAATTCACGATTTCAAATTCATGAATTCACGATTTCAACTTCATGAAGTTGAATTGTGAATTCGTGAAGTTGAAATCGTGAATTCACTTGATCTTAAATTCATTTAATTAAAGAAAAAAAACATTAAATGTACACGTTTATACGTTTTATCTGTGTCATGTAGTGCGCGCGTGCGTGCGCGCGTGTGTGCGTGCGTGTGTGTCTGTGTGTGTGAGAGAGAGAGAGGGGAGAGAGGGGAGACTACAGCCCCCTTTCACATACATTTCAAATACATTGATATTTAAAGATATACTATGCTCAAATTTGATATCAGAAAATATTGATTATTGCTACATAGTCTCTTTATAAATATGACATAAACATGTTTTGACTTCACACAAAGTTGATATGTCATGTTTAAAACCCCACACACTATAGGTCGTCACAATATGAATATATAGTGTCGTTAAAAATGTTTTTTTAAGAAAAGTCCTGTAATAGAGAATATAACTTCCAATGCATAGTTTTATTCATTTTTTTTTCAAATAAGACATATTCAGTAAGAATTACATAAGTTTTAATAAATTTCTTGGATCAAAATATTTTACTCAAAGATGAGTATAGTATATCTTTAACAGTACAAAATTATTTGCCAAGGATATCCTGATTCTTTAGCGCTGGTTTCACTACAATATTTAACTATTATTTAATCAGTGAAGGGGAATTTCGTGCCGTTGTAATAATAAATATCGCCGAATTAACAAGAAAAAGTTTCAAAATTACGTAAGTAAGACAGAACAAAAGATAATGAATTTAAACAAGTATGCTCATAATGTAAAAAATGTTAGACCTCGACATAGTAGAACGTTCACACAATATTGTTCTTAAATATGCTCCTTTTATTTATTATCCATAATGATGTGATATCTGTATTCCTTTTTCGATAGACCTTTTAACAATACGATTTTCCATAGCAACGAATGTTGCATTTCGTGCATGCGCATTCTTCGTAGAGCAAAACGCAATAACGATGTATACAGTTTATCATACTTTAAGGCTTTAATATTTGCGATTTCATGTTATGTCACCAAATAACACACATTAATCTCGGGATGACTTAAGGCGGTAAGTACTGAAAACGTGAATTTATTTTTAACAGATCTACGAAAATGTGCGGGACTTATAATTCAATGGTCAAAAAGGGCACACACATGGCGTTTGTTTAAGGTATCATTAGACGACTTTTCCATCAATAATTTAAATTGAAACAGCGGGGTGTTATAGATAAAATTGTATTACCCCTGTATTACATAATATTACATAATTTGTATTGTACACTTTCTTTGAATAACTGGATTGGTCAGGCGGCACGTGTCAAACAGCTTGGCACGCGAACGGTTGTTCATTCAACCTGGACATTTAAATACAATGATATAGTTAATCAGTTACGCTTATTAAAATGGTAATTTATCTAACTTTTAAATACACCGATCAATGTTTATGGATTTTGAGAAGAGAAACAATGTGTGACGTGCATTAATAAAAATAACATGTATTACGAAGAAGCTGATAAAATGTGTGTTATATCTCTTCAAAACAACCCATCTTAACTTCTTATTTTTTTGGGAAAAAAAAATTATTTAAAATCTATTTATGTGACTTTAATTTTTTTCTTTTTGCATCACAGGCAAATCGAATAAAGGATATAACCAGGTATATTGAACATATTGAAAAATGCATTATCGCCTGTTCTGTTATTTTTTCAGAATGATAATTAATCTCGATTTCATGTTTTAAAATTTCTTTTGCTTTTATATGAACTATTTCAACAGCAAATAAGTTGACTTTTCATTTGCACATCTTCTTTAAAAAAATCTCCGTGCCAGGTCCGTGATCGTAAATTCTTAAACAAGTATCTTTTCCATGACTTTTTATGACATTCTTCGCCACAAAGCTATTAGTCATCTTTTCTATATTTGTTAAAAGCTATTTTATATAATTTTCTACCGTTTACCTTGAACTAACTCGGGATTGTCTATGAACTTCTACTATATTTCTATGTAGGGCGAAGCATTTTTTGCCCTACGCAGATTGCGCATGCGCGAAAAAATTCTAATTCCGGTCGATTTTTCATAGCAACGGACCGCGTCGTAAAAAGGTCTATAAAATAAGATCCAGATGAAAACGTCTTTAAAAAGCGTTGCAGTTTTTTCCATGTAGTTACAATATCTGCATCATGTATGCACATTATACACATTATCTTTAAAAGCGTTTTGTCACATTTATTCCACTTCTACGTATGCGCAGACCCCCATATTGGTAAATCCTTTGGTCAAATGTGTTGTGTCCGGTTTATCTTGTCTTGCCCTTTCGAGCAAGTGCAGTACCGCAAAGAACAAATCTCCGGAACCCAAGGACTCCGCCTCTGTGTCACTCTGCTGATTCAGATTTTATATATTCTGTTCATAATGACATGAATCTGGGGTCGCTTGTCTTTATTGCCAAAATATTTTGTATGAATTTTAAACGTCTTTTTTCACAATGCTAGACTAAGTGCATGTAAAAGAAGAAAAAAGAAATGTTTGAACTAGAATATTGGCATATCCATGATAATACCATTTACTTTTACAGAAATTAAAATGTACTCTAACGACATTGGTTGCCGTAGCAATCGTCAATATGAGTGTCTTACTTCCTTTGGTCGTTCACTTGCACCTATTAAGACAACACAAGATCGAATCAGTATGGTGCTCTCAAGGGAACCATGACCTTCTGGACCAGCTTATGGTAAAGACTAACAAAGATATGAAACAATATCGAAACAACGCATGTGGCAAACTGAGCGACATGTTGCAAAAAGTTGTTAATCTGGTATGAATTTGATCATCCTATATTTTATTTTATCATATACATAATTGAATTAAACAATAAGCAAAATTGATGTATCTGTAGGGTTAAAGCAGAAGTAAATGTTATCTATAATATATGATATACATGTATGTATTTTATGTAAGTGTCGTAAATATTTGTTTAAAACAATACAACTAAATGCTTAAAGGTTAAATATTGCAGATACATTGTACAAGTGTTATATAAATGTTTAAACAGATAGGTAGATCATGTTATGATTGTATAATAGTCATGCTATAAATACCAACATGACATTGTTCTTAAAGTTTTACAAATATTCAATATTTTAGAATAAAAGCTACAACAGTGACACTGGTCCAGGTATGTTTCTTTGCATCTATCAAAAACCATCAGAACCCTCATAAAAGTCGCCTCTTAATTAAAGCTACATGTATGAACATGTTCCTTTCATTAACGTCAATCCGTTTGAAGAGAACCAGTCTTTTTTACAAGTAACCAACTTTCTTTCCCGCCTTAGGTGAGCTTCATACACTAGTATTATTTTAAAGGGACTCCACTGAGGTTTTTTGACATGATGGGACTGAAAATATTTTTTTCCAGATAAATGTACCATTTGATGTAGGTGTAGACCACGAATCTTTGTGCAAAGTTTCTGATCATTCGCGCACTTCGTTTTTCCATAATAATTATTCAAATTGTAAAAAAATGACCCAAAATGAAAAGCGTTTAAACGCTTTTCACTCAAAATAGGCTAAGAAAAGCATAAAACTACGATTTTCGATTTATTATAAAGTAAATTTCTTAACTATCTTTGCATATATTTCTGTTTAAAGCGCCCCAGTTCATTTATGTAAGAATTTCTCAAGTTATGTTTTTAGGCTTTTAAACCTCAGTGGAGTCCCTTTAACTTGACTTATATGGCAAAATCGTGATAAATGCTAGATAACTCATTCAACATAGAAACAAAATGATGGTATGTGCATGTGTCAATAAACACATTTGAGAAGGTTTTATTATAGAAAACATATACATATAATGAACGGTTTTTAAAAATAATTCATATCAAGTTATGACTCTTTTGCAAAGAAATCTTTCCAACTGTTCCTTATTTATATTTTAAGATTCACTTGAAACTTACAAATACTTTCTGAGTTTTTCCATAAACAAGGAAAATACATGACCGCGAAGTGTTACATTGGCTATGGTGGTAGGGTTCTGGATGTTGCTGTTAACACATTGTCTTAACATTCTGAATATGCAAAGTAAAGCACCGAACACAAAAATGCCCTATTACAGGATATGTTAAAAATCTGGAAACAAAGTGATCCCTCGGAAGCATTAATCACAACAAATTTACAAGAGAATTGCAGATTCGGTTTAATTGAGTCTGTACATGAGGGATAATGAATATGTGAACCATACCTCATGCCCCCTAGCACCGGCTTTAGCGCTACTCAATTCTCAACACTTAATAGTGCTGGCATCAATGATCCCGAAGGACCAGAAAAATATAACAACACTAAAATGAAGTACGGGGCAACTTTTTACAGCTGCCACACAGCACTTGACAACTACTGTTGTGCAGTATAAAAATCTGGAAACAAAGTGATCCTTCCGAAGCATTAATCAAGAGAATTGCAGACTCGGTTTGATTGAGCCGTACATGAGAGATAATGAATAGGTGCAACATCCCTTACGCCCCCGATCACCGGCTTGAGCGGTACTTAAGCCTAGACCCAAGTGAAACCTTGACCTTTGAGTTAGGGTGGGTTGGTGCGCCTAATACAAATTATACCTACAACGATGACCTTTGAGCCAAAATTTAAATATTGATTATTGACAAATGAGTCTGAGTACTGCGCATGACTCATTATAAACATGTTGGCCAAGTAATTTCATTTTTTAAATAAGTACAAAAATAAGATAAGTAAATTCCTTTGATGAATTGAAAGGCTCAAAAGACCGAACAAAAAAGGCCAATATTACAGACCATGTAAAGGTTTTACTTGTGAGAGTGAGGTTTGACTCTTTAAAACCGGTTTCAACGAAACTCCCCATTGGTGTAACTACAACTTACCGTTCCAAGGCGGTACCCCTCTGTGTTCCTTCATGTGATGTACATTACTTGTTTGAACGTTGCCTTTGCCTTGTTGATCTTTATTCTCTTTTTGTACCTTGTAGGTAGGATTTAAATGTTGCACATGACACGTCAGCTTTTTTTAAAAGGCAGGTGAAAATGCATTATATAATTACATAAAAACAAAATAAACCACTGTACCATTTTAATCGAGTTCACTTATTAACCAATATATTGAAAGATATGATAATGCATGTTAATCAGGACAACATTTATATTCCAGAACCAGAGTTTCATGGTTTAGATATCACAACATTAAACTGCACAGTTTCAGAGAAAGTTGAATCTACGTTATATCTTTATAATGTACTCTCACATGCCAAACCAGGTATGTTTTTAAAATATAGGAATTTAAATGAAGTATCGATATTACTTTCATCAGATTTATGCATATGCTTTTACTAAATACACATTATACTGTTCTTTTTCTATCAGCAATCACCAGATATATCAAGTAAAAAAGGAATGTGCAAGTAACACAAAAGTAACGCCGAAGCTGTGCAAATCGTACTACATATAGTTAATAAACCGGCAAAAGTATTTTATCCCAAATCAATTAAAACAAATGAATTTAACCACAATTACAATGTTTTTAGGAATATATGTACATTTATAGATCTGTCCTGACTACCATTTTGACGGCGACTTTTGTGTTTCGTGGAAATCAATAAAAATTCTTACGCATATTTCTTTAAGACTTTATTTTCTAAATATATATTATAATAATCAGTATAGCTTAGACATTTGCCAAACTACTTGTGTCTTATAAATCTACATATAGGTGATCCGGTGCATTATTCCCAAATTTGGCCTTACCTCGTAAAAATATTTTCAAGCACATTTGTTCTAATAATGAAAGTTTATTATGGCTCCAATAGTTTGGCAAACGTCTGAGTTGCACTAATTATCGAAAATTATAATGCTATATACAAACGTTATTATATTTTAATATATCTCAAACACAAAGGTTGCCATTAAATCATTATTTCGCTAGTCAGGTCGTCATTCTCAAAAATAAGACTTAAAACCCACTTTCATGGAAATAGTTCGATGACGTTTAAAATATAATATCTCAGAAGCCGAATAGCTCGAAGGCACTGTTTCGATTGGCTTTCACTTTAAAATGTCAGTCAATATTCTTCCTAGTGGCCGCCAGCACCACCATAGGAATCACAGACACAAACAATGTCTATTTACACAATATGAGATAATTGCAAAAATTAAACAAGTTATACTGATGATAAACACGGTGATATGACTGCTTTTACTATATACATACGTTTGCGATAATCCGTGATGGAAATACAATTCAAAACGCAAACAAATTCTTAACAGTTCTTTATTTTTATACAAGTGGAAGTTGCAAACGGACAAATAAGACGTTCGAACGACTTTATCAATGGAAAACACAAACGTATTCCTAAAAACGAAAATCCAAAAGCGGTTTTACACAGAAATCAATAGCAAGATTTTTGTACGGTGTTCCGTTTGGACAATTGTGCCTGTTTATTTAGTTTGTACCCGCGATGCACGATGGTACGATGGTGAAAATGCGATGGTAAGATGGTGAAAAAACGATGGTATGGTGATGAAAACGCGATGGTACGATTGTGAAATGGCGATGGCGCGATAATTATTGAGAAAACGCGATGATAAACATCGTGCCATCGCGTTTTCACCATTGTGCCATCGTCTTCCGCTGGTCATGCGCAATGGTACATTTTCTTTAACAATGTATGCCTTCTCATTATAACATCGCGTTTTCACAATCGTACTATCGCGCCATCGCAATTTCACCATCGTCTCATTGCGTTTTCATCATCGTACCATCGTGTTTTCACCATCGTACCATCGTGCATCGCGGGTACAGATTAAATAAAAGTCACGATTGTCCAAACGAAACAACGTACTTTTGTCTATACCTTGTGTTTTATTTAAATTGAAAGATTTCCTGAAATAAAATATTCTTATACAAATCAAGGAGAGTCTGCAATTTTAGGAGCTTTTCAACATGTTGCTTAAAAATAGCAAATGTTTAAACCAATTCCTAATTGTATTGTTTAAACATGATGCAATACAACAAGGACCACTGACTACAGGCTATAATCTGAAAATATTAATAGTATAGCCTATACCTTTGGATAAATTTAAGTCGCAAATGTAAATTTATATTCCGACCACTTTTTTAATAAACATACACAGCATGTATATAACATCTATGTTTGTCTAAATTCCTGGGCTTATTTATTAATATTAACGATAGTTGCTCATGGGATTTATATATTTTTCAGTACCTGGGAAAAATACCAAAGTATACTGGGGCCCTATTACATATTTGATAACACATCATATGAAATATGAAGAAGGAACCATCTACATCAAGCAATCTGGCTATTATTTTGTGTTGTCTTTACTGACAGTAAGAGTACACAACATGAAATCGGTTGATACCGTTATTAACTTCGGTGACGAAACCCGTCACGTTGTTAACGTTATACAGCACACAGATGGGACTGAACGAGTTCTTCTTCAAAATGTTAAAACAACGTGTGTATTATCCTTCGACAATGGAGAATGGTCAAGTAATATAGGAGCACCTTTTTACTTAAATGAGCAGGACAGAGTATACGTGGCCACATCACATCCGTATAACATTGTCAGTGGTCACAGTAATAGTTATCTAAGCATTCATACCATTTTGTAAGACAACAACAACAATAACCTAACAAATAAACAATAAAAAAGACAAACGAACAAAAGTGTACTTTGATTTCTTGCAGATAAACTCTGGGTAAAGAAAGGTTCAATTAGGATATTATTGTTTTAAATTCTAATTATTGTTTTTGTCTTTTAACAGTATATATGTGCTATTCAAGCTTCATAACCTTTGTTCCCTTTCAAAATTTCATTTTAGTTAGTTTCTCAAATCGTTTTCCCTTTCAGAGCACACATACTTTTATACCTGCGTAGCATATGCCGCTTTTCGTGGAATGGCAATAACATGACACATTGAACATTCCATGATAACTGCCATATGAACATTTTTGCGTATGTTTCAAAATTAAAATATTACCAATTCATTTTAAATGTTGAATTGTGCTTATGCCGAGACTAGGGGTCGTAGACGGTAGCTTGCACTATGCAGTACCGTCCATGTACCATAAGCCTGCATCATTTTCAATTTCGCCGTGTTTTGCTTTTTTTTTAAGAATTCTGTTTGTTTCTATTTTATAACCATTTGTTTTCATTCTTGTCAATTTGTATGTCTTGAGTTCAGTCAATATTATAGTGTTAAATGTTACTCAGAATACATTTCTTATGAAATGGATATGTTCAACACATACAACAGCATCTTATTTTTATAGTATTACAGCATCTGTGTAACAACGTCATGCAAATAATTGGATGCATGAAAAAATGTTGATATTTACATTTCTACCAATTCAAAGTTAATTTTTCATAACTATTTTGTAAGACATGACTTATTTACAAAATTTCTATTTATGATTGAACATATCACCGTGACGATGAATTATATAGACTCATATCATGTAACATTAGATTCGTTAACTGTTGACGTGGTCTTGAATAAAAGTGATTTCTGAATTTCAAATGTTCTTTGTCAATCAACCTTGTAAATATGGATAACGTTTGATTGTTATTACGTTCCTATCGATATATGCATTAGGCAGTGTCTATACAATCATCAAGACATCTGTATTTTACACTGATATTCCTACGACTGTCAGGGTATAATCTGAGTCTAAATATATGTTAGTGTTCATCCGTGCTGCTCTACAGAAATTTGATTATTATCAGAAACTTAAAACTTGGAAACAAGGTTAGATTGAGAACAAAATTTGTTTGATCTGCTTTTTTTTTCGAACTCGTAAAATGAAAACGTGGTTTAATGAAGTACAGTCATAGTGTTATGATATGGAAAGAATGACTAGCAAAATAAAACCAGCTAAAATTGATTAGATTAGATCAAGTAAATGATCGTGCATTTGTACTGATAGATTATGGTCATCAGTAAAATTCTATTATGTTTGGAATATGTATCGGAATTCGTATTTATGTAAAGGTATGTTAACTTCAAATAAAATATAAGACAGAAATAAAACGTTACCAGAGAAAGTGCTCTATAAATGTAGCAACTTGTTAAGTTTAATTTTCCTGTCTCAAATCCATTTTATAATCCAATATAACTTCTGTCATTTAGTACAAAAAGACATTGAGTGATAGATTTTTGAACCTAAATAGTGACTTAAATATATTGACCCTTTTACACACTGCAAATTTGATATTGTCGCTGTTACTGAAACTATATTGTGATTTGTTTTCAATGTTTTACTAATTTGATATTTTATGTATGATATAAGATAAATTTTCGGATAAATCAGACAAGATATGTAAATCATGTAAACGCTATAAATGAAGCATAATTATTGAGAATTTATAACCTTTTCATTTTGTTATAAACTATAACATTTCAATAAAAGTAAACGAGACTTTATAAATAATACATTGTTCATTTATTAAAAAAAAATTGCGCATTTTATTAATATATATCACCAGTCTGTCATTGAATACATCCTTCTTAAATCAAATTATTGTGCAGAAAAAAATTTCAGAATAAAGGATTGATTGATAGAAGATATATGCTGCTAAAGTGTTAAATAAATAAAAGAACGATGTAGCTGAGGATTGGGCCATAAATTCGAAAATAATGACAGTAAAATAAAGATAAGCGAGGTTTAAAGCAATAAAATAGCTGCAAAGGGATGGTCAACTGTGCACTGCATAACTTAAGAAGAGCCGAATAAAATGCTACCTAGACGAATGTTTGTTAAAATCTACGCAGTTGTAAAAATTAAAGACACGAAATTCCAAAACGTCTGTATAAGTAGAACTCGTTTAACACTGTGGCAGGACGTGTACGCTTTCAGTTGCTTACCATTTTTCATAACATTCATAGTGTCCATATTTTCTCAAATATAGTCATCGAACCGGAACATATCACTGTTCAATAATATATATTACATTACATTTTACTTTACTTAAAAATGAAAGGTTAGAAAGGTAACTTACGTTTAAATTAACGGTAATCAAGTTGTGAATGAATTTTGTGAATCAAATGAAATAACTGAATGAAATCGTGTTCATATTCGTTTGATTGGCAATTCAAAACAAGGTTCATATCAGGTTTTTCAAATAATGCGATCTCAAACACTCCCTTGTGCATGACTTTTATAATAAAAAATGAGAATGAAAGACTATATAGAACGTTCAGTACAATTACACTGTTTTTTTATTTCAACAATAATCTGTCTTCTTCAGACTTATGATTGTACTGTATTGACTACTTTACATTTAGAAAACTATTGTAAATTACGTTTGAACAATTCAATTTCATGATTTTATAACATTCAACAAAGCAACTTGTCAAACTAAGACAATTTAATTATTGATTTTATTCTGCAACTGGGTTCTTAATCCGAAAAACGAATAAAGAAAGTACAAAAGCGGAAACTCTAATGAGATCTCTATTTTTAGGTAAGAATAACGCTGATGTACTTTTTTACGTGCATATATATGTACAGAAGTCTTCAGACTTCTTTTAATCTATCACTCTGTGGACTACGGCATTATAATGCATCCTCGAAATTCTATAGATGTTAATGCAAGAAAAAGATGCATTTTCCTTTTTACCCTTTTTTGTTTAAGGCTCTCCAAACACACTTATTTATCGTGTGTTTATTTGAGCAAGTCAACATAATTCGATTTTTCGTTATATATATAGTACGGTTTTCTGTTTCACAAAGTAAAAAATTGGCAGATATTCATTTTAAATTGGCTTGAATCAGCTCGAGATTGTCACTTTCTTTAACAAATAAATTTAGCAATTAAAGCATATTTATTTGTGTCTTTTTTAAAATTAATCATATTGTTTTCCCAACCAGTTAAGCTTATAATGACAACACCCTTATAATAATATTGTTTAACGATTGCGTTTCCTGACATAATTTAAAATAAACGTAAAAGAAGATCAAATGAAACGCCCAAAATCATATGAACCATTACTCTGCTGATACAAAATATAGTAATAAATATATGTATAACTTAATAACGGCAGCATTTTATTTTATGCCTCATACCGTTTTTAATACTTGAAGTGGTAGTTAAAAAAATTTATCAGCCATTAAAACATCTGTTTTATTCTTTGCTACCAAGGACATTAAAATTTCCTTTGCAGACAGATAGTATGAAGGTGGGGTCTTACAACATAAAGTAATTAATTTTGCTGCAAAAATTGTTACCATGTCATAATTGTCTAAGTGTAATGTCGCACGTTTTAATCATATATACTATACAATTATTAAAATTATTTAGGTTTGCAAGGCTAAAGATTTCAATGAGAATATATTCTAATCTATATCTAAAGTTAATGTAGTTGAATGCATGTATACCATGTATTGTGTTTGTTAAAAAATGGAATATGTTTAACCTAAAGCTTCATTTTGGATTGAAAATGACTTTCTTATTCTTAACCTTTTTTGTTCATCAACACCCCAAAAATCCACTAGGACACGTTAATATAAACAATGTTTCTAATTTGGTAAGTGTAAGCGTTAGAAAAAGACATACTTTTCTCGAGTATAATCATAAAGCGTTAAAATTATGTGACAACTATGTACATTGTATATGTCCTTAAATGTCTTTAAAAATGTCTTTTTTTCAAAATGTCTTTCGACTCGTTTATTTGAACATTGTTTTATAATTATTTTTAAGAAACTAGACAAAATATATTCCGGAAAAAGCAGACAAATTTTTCGAACATTTTTACGTAAATATGAAAACATTTTGTGTTACAATTTAAACATTTTAGCTCAGTTTCAAAATATTAAACATTACAGCAACAGAAGTGCATTTTTTGGAGCCTGATGTGCCTTGCATTTGCTAAAATCATTGTTCTACTGTCTTTGCTTGGGTACTGGTATACATTAAGACAAACTAGTGTAGAAACGGAATGGTGTTCTTTGTTAAAATTTAAAGTAAATGGAAATCTCGACCTCCAAAGTCAGCTCGAAATAACGACTGACGGAAATAAAACAAATAGAAACAGAACATGTGGAAGATTAAGTATCATGTTGGACACACTTGTCGCACAGGTAATCCCATTATTTTTGTAACAAAAATAACAGTTCGATTAGTGATTTTACACATTACATATCTTGCAATATTGTATTGTCGGGGAATTGCGCTAATATGTATGACGCCTAAGTATACGGAACGAAGCGTTACTTTTGAGCACATCACCGTCCATGTTTAGTAGTATGAAACGTAGTTTTGAAAAGACGTATAAAGTAGTCAAAACGTGTTGTACATTTTTTTCCATAGCATAGTACCTTTTCCGATATGTATGTGTAATTTGGTTTCCTTGACTTTTGTTGTTATACTCGGTAAATAATGATAGTAACGGTATAACCTTGACAACATGAACATATTTCAGAGATGGTAGTAGTAGAACATATCATTTTTCATTATTTTGTCTGTCTTTAAAATATTGTTTTTTCTGCTATTTCAGAAAACACATAAAAGTTACGACAGTGATATGAACCCAGGTATAACTTGCTTCCTTCACAATTAATACAATAAAATGCTAGATTAGTTTGATCCCCCTATTTGGCACCATAAGGAACTGTAAA